CTCTTTAAAACCAAACACAAGGTCAGAGGTTCTTTCGTATTATGAACACGTGGGCAAGATTTCATTTATGCTGTGCAAACTTATCTGTCAGGAAAAATTTACCGCTACTAGGAGGGAAGACTATTTTCCAGTAAAAGTATGACTTAGACAAGATGTGTGATGTCAACCGTGGATTGTTTAATATATTTATATGTGGTTGTAAGAGAAGTAAATGCGAGGTCTTGGCAAGAGGCTGTGGATTAAAAGATATGAATCACACAAAGTGGGATGTCACAGCTGCTCTTTGCTGATGACACTGTGCTCTTGGGAGATTCTGAAGAGAGGTTGCAGAGATGGTGAATGAATTTGGTAGGGTGTGGTAAAAGAAGAAAATTAAAGGTAATACAGGAAAGAGAAGGTGATGAGGATAAAAAAAGATTAGGTGATGAAAGATTGAATATCAGATTGGAGGGAGAGAGTATGGAGGAGGTGAACGTATTCAGATATTTGGGAGTGGACGTGTCAGCGGATGGGTCTATGAAAGATGAGGTGAATCATAGAATTGATGAGGGAAAAGAGTGAGTGGTGCACTTAGGAGTCTGTGGAGACAAAGAACTTTGTCCTTGGAGGCAAAGAGGGAATGTATGAGAGTATAAGTTTTACACGCTCTTATATGGGTGTGAAGCGTGGGTGATGAATGTTGCAGCGAGGAGAAGGCTGGAGGCAGTGAGATGTCATGTCTGAGGCAATGTGTGGTGTGAATATAATGCATGAGAATTCGTAGTTTGGAAGTTAGGAGGAGGTGCGGGATTACCAAAACTGTTGTCCAGAGGGCTGAGGAAGGGTTGTTTTAGGTGGTTCGGACATGTAGAGGAATGGAGCGAAACAGAATGACTTCAAGAGTGTATCAGTCTGTAGTGGAAGGAAGGCGGGGTAGGGGTCGCCTAGGGAAGGTTGGAGGGAGGGGGTAAAGGAGGTTTTGTGTGCGAGGGGCTTGGACTTCCAGCAGGCATGCGTGAGCGTGTTTGATAGGAGTGAATGGAGACAAATGGTTTTAATACTTGACGTGCTGTTGGAGTGTGAGCAAAGTAACATTTATGAAGGGATTCAGGGAAACCGGCAGGCCGGACTTGAGTCCTGGAGATGGGAAGTACAGTGCCTGCACTCTGAAGGAGGGGTGTTAATGTTGCAGTTTTAAAAACTGTAGTGTAAAGCACCCTTCTGGCAAGACAGTGATGTGAGATGAATGATGGTGAAAGTTTTTCTTTTTCGGGCCACCCTGCCTTGGTGGGAATCGGCCGGTGTGATAAAAATAAAATATATATATATATATATATATAATATATATATATATATATATATATATATAATATATATATATATACAATGGGCTAGTAACCTCTTTTCCTGTAAAGATTACTAAAAAGAATAAGAAGAAGAAAATTGTCAAGTGGGAAGTCTGAATGTGCGTGGATGTTGTTGCAGATGATAAGAAAGAGATGATTGTGGATGTTATGAATGAGAAGAAGCTGGATGTCCTGGCTTTAAGTGAACAAAGCTGAAGGGGGTGGGAGAGTTTTCAGTGGAGAGGAATAATGGGATTAGGTCAGGGTTTCAAATAGAGTTAGAGCTAAAGAAGGAGTAGCAATAATGTTGAAGGATAAGCTATGCAGGAAAGAGGGACTATAAATGTATTAATTCAAGGATTATGTGGAGTAAAATAAAGATTGGATGTGAAAAGTGGGTTATAATAAGCGTGTATGCACCTGGAGAAGAGAGAATGTAGAGGAGAGAGAGAGATTTTGGGAAAAGTTGAGTGAATGCGTGGGGAGTTTTGAATCAAGTGTGAGAGTAATGGTGGTTGGGGATTTTAATGGTAAAGTGGGTAAAAATGTTATGGAGGATAGTAGGTAAATTTGGGGTCCAGGGTAAATGTAATGGGGAGCCTTTAATTGAGCTATGTGTGTAGAAAGAAATTTGGTAATAAGTAATACTATTTTATTGAAAAAGAGGATAAATAAATATACAAGGTATGATGTAGCACGTAATGAAGTATAGTTTATTAGATTATGTATTGGGATAAAAGGTTGATGGGTAGGCTCCAGGATGTACATGTTTATAGAGGGGCAACTGATATATCGGATCAGTATTTAGTTGTAGCTACAGTTAGAGTAAAGAGGTAGATGGGAAAAGAGGAAGGTGGCAACAACAAGTAAGAGGGAGGTGAAAGGTATAAACTAAGGGAGGAGGAAGTTCGGGTGAGAATAAGCGACTATTGGCAGAAAGGTGGGCTAGTGCAAAGATGAGTAGTGGGGGGTTGAAGAGGGTTGGAATAGTTTTAAAAATGCAGTATTAGAATGTGGGCAGAAGTTTGTGTTATAGGAGGGTGGGGGCAGGAGGAAAGAGGAGTGATGTGGAATGATGAAGTAAAGGGTGTGATAAAGAGAAAAAGGTAGCTTATGAGAGGTTTTTACAAAGCAGAGTGTTAAGAAGAGCAGAGTATATGGAGAGTAAAGAAAGGTAAAGAGAGTGGTGAGAGAGTGCAAAAGGAGAGCAGATGATAGAGTGGGAGAGGCACTGTCAAGAAATTTTAATGAAAATAAGAAAAAATTTGGAGTGAGTTAAACAAGTTAAGAAAGCCTAGGGAATATGGATTTGTCAGTTAAAAACAGAGTAGGGGAGTTAGTAGATGGGGAGATGGAGTATTGGGAAGATGGCGAGATATTTTGAGGAACTTTTAAATGTTAAGGAAGAACAGAGGCAGAATTTCAGCACTGGTCAGGGAGGTATACATCTTTTAGGAGGAAGATAGGCAGAATGTAAGTGTGGGGGAGGTACGTGAGGCATACGTAAATGAAAGGGGTAAAGCAGCTGGAAATGATGGGATCATGACAGAAATGTTAAAAGCAGGGGGGATATAGTGTTGGAGTGGTTGGTCTTTTGTTAATAAATGTATGAAAGAGGGGAAGGTACCTAGGGATTGGCAGAGAGCATGTATAGTCCCTTTATATAAAGGGAAAGGGGACAAAAGAGACTGTAAAAATTATAGAGGAATAAGCTTACTGAGTATACCAGGAAAAGTGTACGGTAGGGTTAAAATTAAAGAATTAGAGGTAAGACAGAATGTAGATTGCGGATGAGCAAGGAGGTTTTAGAGTGGTAGGGATGTGTAGTCAGGTGTTTACATTGAAGCATTATGTGAACAGTATTTAGATAAAGATAGGAAGTTTTTATTGCATTTATGGATTTAGAAAAGGCATATGATAGAGTGGATAGAGGAGCAATGTGGCAGATGTTGCAAGTATATGGAATAGGTGGTAAGTTATTAATGCTGTAAAGAGTTTTTATGAGGATAGTGAGGCTCAGTTAGGGTGTGTAGAAGAGAGGAGACTCTTCCGGTAAAAGTAGGTCTTAGACAGGATGGTAATGTCACATGGTTGTTTAATAATTTATAGATGGGTTGAAAGAAGTAAATGCTAGGTGTTTGGAGAGGGGTGTGGATTAAATATGGGAATCATATATCCAAATAGGGATTGACACAGTTCTTTTTGCTGATGATACTGTGCTTATGGGAGATTCTAAAGAAAATTGCAAAGGTTAGTGGATGAGTTTGGGAAGTGTGTAAAAGGTAGAAAGTTGAAAGTGAACATAGGAAAGAGTAAGGTGATGAGGGTGTAATGATTTAGATAAAAGAAAAATTGGATATCAAATTGGGGAGGGGGAAATTGGAAGAAGTAAATGTTTTCAGATACTTGGAGTTGAACTGTCGGCGGATGGTTTATGAAGGATGAGTTAATCATAGAATTGATGAGGGAAAAAGGTGGTGGTGGCTTGGGGTATTGTGAGTCAAAAAACGTTATCTATGGAGGCAAAGAAGGGAAATGAAAGAAGATAGTAGTACCACACTCTTATATGGGTGTGAAGCTTGGGTGGTAAATGCAGCAGCGGAGACGGTTGGAGGCAGCGGAGATGCCCTGTTTTGGGGCAATGTGTGGTGAAATATTATGCAAAAATTCGAGTGTGGAAATTAGGAGAAAGTGGGAGTTAATTTAAAAGTATTAGTCAGAGGGCAGAAGAGGGGTTGTTGAGGTGGTTTGGTCATTTAAAGAGAGAGCGAATGGATCACAGTAAGAATGACATGGAGAAGTCAAAAATGGCTATAGGGGAAGGAAGGCGGGGTAGGGTCGTCCTCAAAGGTTGTGAGCGATGGGTGTAAAGGAGGTTTCGTGTGTAAGGGGCTTGGACATTCAGGCAAGCGTGCGTGAGCGTGTTAGATAAGATGAAAATGGAACAATGGTACTTGGGACCTGGACATCTGTTGGAGTGTGAGTCCTAGGGTATATTTAGTGAAGGGATTCAGGGAAAACGTTATTTTCATATAGGTCGGACTTGATTCTCATGGAAAATGGGAAGTACAATGCCTGCACTTTAAAGAAAGGGTTTGATAAGGATATTGGCAGTTGGGAAAGGGATATGTTGTGTATCTTTATATGTTTATGAGTTACTGACTGATAATGTTATTCTGAGCACCTCTGGCAAAAACAGTGATAAATTGCGAGTGTGGTGAAAGTGTTGAATGATGATGAAAGTATTTCTCATTTTAGAGGGATTTTCTTTCTTTTTTGGGTCACCCTGCCTCGGTGGGGACTGCCAGACTTGTTTGAACAAAAAAAAAATATATATATATATATATATATATATATATTATATATATATATATAATATATATGTCATCTTTATATGTTTAATACAGTATTATCCATTAACACCTATTATATATAAATATGAATTATTATTAATTAATTGGATTTTCAAAAGGAAAATTCAGCTGTCATCTTAACACTTGTTACAATGGGGCTTTTCACATAAACACAAGCAAACATTTTGGCATTCTGATACACACCCTAGGACAGGCGCTACTAATATAAAGGAAGAGTGATTAAGAGTAAGTACGTCAGCTCCTCTGACTGTGGTACTTGGTGAGTGTGGTGGGTGTTGCTGGGGTAAAAAACAGTGATTACCTGTATGCCTGAGGGCAAGGTTGTAGGGGTGAGGGTAGAGGATGTTGATGTGGTGACCACTGAGGGCAGGTTTGGGCACTCCTCAGAGTTCTTGGTAAAGTTAAAGTCGTCCACAGATATTATTGCAAACTTCGTTCCTCGCATCCCGCCTATAAATATCTGTGGAGAAGCAAAAATATACTATAGGAGGATGTTCTTTTGCGTAAATGTGCGTATTATTATGATTATTATTATTACTATTATTAATCATTAATTTCATTGTAAAGCGCTAAGCTTGTATTATCATACAGCACCTGGGAAATAGGAGACAATCTTTCTTAATCTGAGAAAGGGAATGATGCATGAATCCCTTGAAGAACTCTTCACTGGCATCTAGGCCGGGGTAAACATATGTAGGCATAGCAAAAGCTGCTTTTCTTACATGTTAACTTATCCTGTGTTTGGCTCATGTGAAAAAATAATACACTTTTCATTTTCCATGAGTGCTATATCCACTAAATGCAGTTAAGGCTACTCTGTACCAAATACTTGTACATTCACTGTACCAAACATTTGTACATTCACTAAGCTCATTTAATGTTACTCTGTATCAAACGTTTGTATATGTGATTAATTTTACGAGTAATATAATTTTAAAGTCCCAGTTCTCAACTATTTTACCTGATAAGAAGTTGCAATAAAAAGTTCCTGTGCATCGATGTGAACCTGTCCCTCCAGCCAGCGTCCGTGATCAGAGGACGCGGTATCCTGCCACACTTCCACGTTTATTCCGTCATCTTTTTTCACTGCTATCCAGAGGACGTCATCTGTGGTTCCCTGCACATCACACCAGGGCACTTAGTGTCAGAATAGCCACATTTGTATAATTTATTTCGATTTTTTGGGTTTTACTCGGAAAATGCTGCTCGAGTTATTCTGCTCTAAGCGGTGATATTTTATTGGTCAGGGGACAGAAGTATCATATTGATGCTATGCAGTAACGAAAATTTGAAGAATAAGACACATCTGCAACACTTAAAGACAACCAAGTATTGCAAATGTTTCTTATTTCTCAAGAAGACAAGCGTCAGATAATAACTTTGTTCAGTATACATATTCTGGCCGTCCGTCCGGAGCTAAATTTTCACGAAATTATAAAACAACACATTAAGCTAATTACATATCAATCTGCTTCAACATTCATGAGTGCTCATGAACTGTGTTAAATGCATATCAAAATAAACCAGGTGTTAAGCTTCAATAGCGATTATTAACATGATCTAACAGGAGATATCACAATCTAACAAACTGGAAATTCAAACTTAACGACATTTCAGTCCTTCAGAGACAATTACCAAATATAAAGAAAAATATATTAGGGCCAGATCAAGTCGGTGAAGGTGATGAGACGGTCATAGTCAGGTCAAAGAACAATTTCAAAAGATGGCGGATGTGAATTGTTTCTCAACTTAAGGAAGTACCAGAGGTACTGGAATCACTAAGGAAGTACCACCTGAACTCGCCTGGATGAAGCACCAGAAGTACTGGACTCACCTGGATGAAGTACCAGAAGTATTGGACTCACCTGGATGAAGTACCAGAAGTATTGGACTCACCTGGATGAAGTACCAGAAGTGGAAGCACAGGTTGCTGTGTTGCTGGGTAATGAACATCTGACTCTGGAGGAGCGCCAGACCCGTGCTGGCGAAGGCTGTGTCCACGTACAGGAACATCCCTGTAGGGTGGTACTCACACGTTACAATACTAAACACCAAGAATTTTTCCTGACAAATATATATTTGATAAAAATCACTAGTTTTTTTAATATGAATTTACGTACTGTATACATATATTTTTATAGTAAATAGTTCAACTATTAAAAAAAAAGACAGAATAAAAAGGTTCATAAAATCATTAAGGAGTGGAGGAGGAATTACCAGACGAAAAAGAGCAGGTCCCACCGCACATTCCCTCCTTACCTTCGTTATTACCATTGTGGTCTGCGTCAGGAGCGTCCAGGTCCTCACTGCTAGAGCCGCATCCAGCAATCCAGTCGGAATCATCCTTTACGTTGTCCATAGACAGCACGTTTTGCCAGCCACACGATCCTTTTGAGAAGTCGCATGTTCCTGTGAACACACGATAGGTCACACACTGATTTGCTGCAGTGATTTGTTTAACGATGATTTGTTGCCCATGCTGCTGAGGAAGGATTCCATATTTTTAAGCGGTATTGTAACTGATCTGTCATTATGGGGTTAATGTATCTACCAACAGCTTTTAATAGAAAACTGTTGAGAGAATAATATTGCTACACAAAATTTAAGCAGATGGCTTGTAGCTCAGTGGTAACACCAACTAACATCCTACGGACCAAGTTCAATCCTGGAATGAGTGGGAATGTTTCCTTACACTGTATCTAGTTCTTCAGTTCGCATAGCTGTAAATACGTACCTGAGTGTTAGCCAACTGCTGTAGGTCTCGTCCTGAGTGCGTTGTAGGATATCTTAAGGCTAAGTTTTGAAATCAACTGAGTTAAGATAGGTGCTCTTAACCTTTAAATTCAGCGGTGTAAAAAATCAATGTACAACTTTGAACTCAATATCCTTAATTAGGCCATTTACCCCAAGGAATATAAGAGAAACGGAAGTTTTGATTTTTGCAATGGCAGTGGGAATATTACATGACTTCTAAGTGGGAATGTCGCTTGTTAGCTCAACAGGTCCTGCATTAATGGTTGAGTAGCATTATGGTGGCAGTACTGGCACTGTTGTTCTGTCATTCTTAGTTATTAAATCTGTGATAGAGCAGACAAGGCACAGCCGATGAACAACTGTGCACTGATGTCTGGTCAAGTCACTGTTAGATAAGGGTTGACCCTGTGAAGCTGTTTCAAACCACAGCTCTGTCTTAATATGTGGCTGAGGGTCTTGTGTTCGTTGTGTAGTATTTTGGCCCATTTGTTTAATCTGTCGTAGGCTGATTGGTATGGGCATAATTGCCTGCTAACTAATGTAGTAGTTTCGTATCCAGCTTCCTTCCTCTGGATACTAACGTGGCTTAGTATCCAGTTAAGTATAGTTTTACTTCCTTACACATCCTTTAAGATACTCAATATATATGAGAAGAATTTTAAGTTGTCTTGTGGATGAGTGTGATGAAGTGACTGGAGAGCACCTACGGAATCTGTATGAAGAACAATGTGCTGCTGATTCTGTCGCATACTATAGGTTAATGACTGCTGGTGTGCCATTAACTTAGCTTGCAGTACTATGCAGAGGTTAGGGAGTCTTCATCTCCTGGGTTGTCTATCGTGATGGACTCTATTGCAAGCTTCTTGTCTGCGTCTACTGAGCCATCCGCGAAGTACACTGCGTTGTACTTCATGGATGGTACTTAAATCAATATTTTTTATAAAAATTATATTATAAAAATCAGATTACATATAATTATATTTATTAGCAACATTTGTACATGATAACAATTCCATATACTGTATTACTTTCAGAATTATATTTTATATTTTGCTAAATTGAGTCTAAAAATACTAATTGGTAACCCTTTCTGGCAGCCATATTGTGTGGAGTCTACTCGCGAGTTAGTCTTGAAAGAGTGATTTCAAAGTGGGTATTTTACAGTGTCTGATGAAATATCTGGGAATAAGCGTACAGTTATTATTACAATCAAAATTAAGCACTAAATCCACAAGGGTCTTACAACGCTGCAAATAAAGGTACAAATGGTTTTCGATGGAAAAATGTCTCGTTTAACACCCGAGTTTGTTTTTATATCAAGGGAACATCAATTTTTTTGAGGCGTCGAGGTTGGGAACCATTGCTGAGTGAATCTACCTAAGGAAGGTGGTGTGGAAAATACTGTATATATTTTCCGG